AGGTACTCCACTTGTTACTGTTCGCCGTCTGACTCTTCGCCTCCTTACTCTCTGGCTTCTGCCCGTTAGGTAATTCCTTAAGCATGTTAGGGCTTTTCCGCTTACTCCTGCTTGTCTCTCAAGGTTGTATAGTAACGACTTGTGAGTAACCTCTTGTGAGGTGTCTAAGGCTTTTTGGCAGTCCAGAAATACTCAGTCTGCACAACTTTGTCGTGCCTTATTCGTTTTATTTTATCTTAGAACTCTAGTAGGTTCGTCAGGCATAATTTCCCTTCCCAGAACCCATGTTGGTGCTTGTTTACATCCCTAATTTTCTCTGAGTGTGTAACCAGTCTTAACTTGATTATTCTTTCAAGTGCTTTGCCCGGGGGGGGGATGCTTGTCAGTGATACTGGTCTGTAGTTAAGTGCCTCTTCTCTATCTCCTTGCTTGAAAATTGGTCCCATATTTGCCTTCTTCCAGCAGCTGGGCAACTCTCCTTTTCTAAGAGACTTGTTAAAGATCTTTGCTAGAGGCACACTGAGAGACGTGTGTACTCACCTAGTTGTGCTTGCGGGGGGGGGGGTGAGCTCTTTGGTCCCGCCTCTCAACCGTGTGTGTGTGTGTATGTGTGTGTATTGGTGTTCATGTGTGTGTGTGTATGTGAGCGTGCTGAAGTAGCTGCTTCCCTCCCCCCCCCCCCCACCAGTCGTTCTACTTACCTACTGTTCTCCTGCTTATCTACTATCTCTTGCCCCTTCTCCCTGCTGCGCCTTACCTCGGCTATCTACCTTTCTTCCTCGCTGCTGCTTGTTCGCTTTTCCCTGCCTCCCATTTTGCCTATCTGCTCGTCTGTCCACCTGACTGCCTCGCTGTCTGCCTCATTGCTTGACCAGCCATCTGCCTCGTGAGAAAAAAAAAACATGGCCAGCTATAAATCCCCCTCCCTCCCCCCCCCCTCCCCTCATCTCTTGCCAGGAACCTGCCAACTTGTCATAGTGGGCGGACGTCACCTGTAGCCCGCTTACCACCTTCACCTGAGCCGGGCTTGGCCCTCTCCTCCTACCGCTTCTCACACAAGAATCTCATTAGCATATTCCACGGTCCTGTGAGCCCTTCCCGCCATCTCCACCCTCATCCATTTCCCCCCCTCCTCCTCCTCTCCCTCTCTCTCCCTCATACTCTTTCCCCTCGTTCTTTCTATCCCCCCCTCTTCCCCTTCTTTCTCCCCCTCTGGTGTCTCACCAGGCTGACGGTAACAGCCCGACGAAGTTGTCAGTTCACGGACGATCGGTTCGTCTCAAATGGTGTCAGGAGCCATGTGTCAGTCGGGGGCTGTCCGGGCGGCGAGGCAAGGCTGGGTCCGGCAGGTATATAGCATGCTGACAGCCTCGTATAGCATGTTGACAGCCTCGTATAGCATGCTGACAGCCTCGTATAGCATGTTGACAGCCTCGTATAGCATGTTGACAGCCTCGTATAGCATGTTGACAGCCTCGTATAGCATGCTGACAGGTGCGTCTGTGGGACATTTCTGCTGACTGGCCCCAATATTAGCAAGGCTGTGTGTGTGTGTGTGTGGTGTGTGGTGTGTGTGTGTGTGTGTGTGTGTGTGTGTGTGTGTGTGTGTGTGTGTGTGTGTGTGTGTGTGTGTGTGTGTGTGTGTGTGTGTGTGTGTGTGTGGGTGTGTGTGTGTGTGTGTGTGTGTGTGTGTGTGTGTGTGTGTGTGTGTGTGTGTGTGTGTGTGTGTGTGTGTGTGTGTGTGTGTGATGCTTGTGTCAGCTGGGCCTTGTGTCTGGTTTAGCTAACTGTGAGTGTATGTATCTAGTCGGTTCTTGTTATCACTCCGAAGGACGGTGTAATTGTGTCTTTGTTCTGTCATTGTTTATTTGTCGTTGTGGTGATGTTTGGAAATTTTGCTTGTGAGGCAAACGCTCACGCTCTCTCTCTCTCTCTCTCTCTCTCTCTCTCTCTCTCTCTCTCTCTCTCTCTCTCTCTCTCTCTCTCTCTCTCTCTCTCTCTCTCTCTCTCTCTCTCTCTGTCTCTCTCTGTCTCTCTCTGTCTCTCTGTCTCTCTCTCTCTCTCTCTCTCTCTCTCTCTCTCTCTCTCTCTCTCTCTCTCTCTCTCTCTCCTTCGCCATTCAATAGTGGCTTAGTTTGTGTTGTTGGTGGGGGTTGTGGTGAGTGATTGTATGGGGTTGTGGTGAGTGATTGTACGGGGTTGTGGTGAGTGTTTGTATGGGGTTGTGGTGAGTGATTGTATGGGGTTGTGGTGAGTGATTGTATGGGGTTGTGGTGAGTGATTGTACGGGGTTGTGGTGAGTTTTTGTATGGGGTTGTGGTGAGTGATTGTATGGGGTTGTGGTGAATGTTTATAAGGGGTTTTGGTGAATGTTTATATGGGGTTGTGGTGAATGCGAGACTTCACCCTAAAACTGTGTTATATTTAAAACATTTATATTGGCTTCAAAACACTGTTAAAACCTTTGGTCAATTACTTTTTAGAATAGTGTGGTCAGTAAATACTGTCTCATTCACACGTACCAGGTAGTGTTCTTCACCTTAATGTATAAATACTGTATTATTTACTGTATACTGTATTATTTACTGTATACTGTATTATTTACTGTATTGTGTGTATTTTGTATAGGACAGACAAAAAAGTTTTACATTTACAATTTCTGGACATAAATGGTGTGGAGACGTGACCAGATATCTTGTATTTACTCATTGGACTCAACAAATTAACCAAATTGATTAGGAGGATTTTTTTCTCTTCGATCGACAAGTGCAAGAGAGCATTTGAAATATAAATATTATTGAATCTGCTTTAATACAAATGACTAAAAACAGGAAATATGGATGGTAGTAATGGCTGGTACTTTATTGAACCATCCTTACTTCGGGACTTGAAGTAGACTAGATAATCTTAAGACATACTTTACCCACCTCTCACTCTCCTGTGTCACTGTCTATGTACCACTTCTGTACCCACGTTTTAACAGCACATCCGAAGATGATCTGAAATCACAACCCGTCCTCTACTCAAGTCCATTCCATCCAGCGGTTGACCCCACAGACGCATTCCAACCGGTCCTCTACTCAAGTCCATTCCATCCAGCAGTCGACCCCACAGACGCATTCATAAATTTTAACATGCTGTTCATTCAAAACTAGGAATTTTCTCAAGTATAAATTAATATTATAATATATTAGCATATTGTGCATATATAGGCATAGGTTAGGTTAGGTTAGGTTAGGTTAGGTGTTTAGGTTCTGTTGGCGATTATTTGTATTTGTAGTACGTGGGTGAAGCATTTATAGCGTTGTGATTCGAACAAAACTCGTCAGTGAAGCACCTGTTCCGGAAGTGTTCGAACGTCAGCAGTTGTGAGTCGTGTGTAAACCGCTTTTCATTCATAAACAGGGGGTTTGGCGGGTGCATGGAATCACTTTTGGATCTTTGTTTGGAGGACGGGCTGGTGTTTGGAGGACGGGCTGGTGTTTGGAGGACGGGCTGGTGTTTGGAGGACGGGCTGGTGTTTGGAGGACGGGCTGGTGTTTGGAGGACGGGCTGGTGTTTGGAGGACGGGCTGGTGTTTGGAGGACGGGCTGGTGTTTGGAGGACGGGCTGGAAATGAAGACAAAAAGCGCTCAGGTATTGGAGACCTTTGTTTATCTTCCGGAACACGGGCTTTCAGATTATATTCATCGCGTGTTAATATTATCGCGATTTACACACCCAACACCCCAGACACACTTACATGCACAAAGCTCTCTATAAACTCACAGGAGGAGCACGCGGGTATCCATAAAGTAGCCGCCGCTGACGTGAGTAACCAGGGGCCAGATTCACGAAAGCACTTACGCAAGCACTTACGAACGTGTACATCTTTTCTCAATCTTTGGCGGCTTTGTTTCCAGTTATTAAACAGTTTACAAGCATGAAAACTTGCCAATCAACTTTTGTTATTGTTATAAACAGCCTCCTGGTGCTTCGGAGCTCATTAACTGTTTAACAATTGCAAACAAAGCCGCCAAAGATTGAGAAAAGATGTACAGATTCGTAAGTGCTTGCGTAACTGCTTTGTGAATCTGACCCCAGATCGTCAGCTGTTGCATAAAGTACCCCTCCAAGAGTAAGACTACTTCAGGCTCCTTCAGGCAATAACAGGAGCACTTAGAGGGAAGTACATGTCTGTCGTGTGGCATGGACGTGGTACCTCACTGCTCCAGTGAGGAGGACGAGGGGGGGGGGGGGGACGGGGTAGCTACGTCATGTGGGTCTTGAAACTGTGAATGATATGAGTGCAGGCGATGAGTCACAATAACGTGGCTAAAGTAAGTTGACCAGACCACACACTAGAAGGTGAAGGGACGACGACGTTTCGGTCCGTCCTGGACCATTCTCAAATCGACTTCAGAATGGTCCAGAACGGACCGAAACGTCGTCGTCCCTTCACCTTCTGATGTCGATTATTGCGGCAGTGAGGGGGGGGGCGTGGGGGTGAGTCGGGAACCAAGAGCACGAGTCCTGCTCACTAATTAAGAGCGACGGGAAGCATGAGGTGGAAGAAACACAGCTAATTTAAACAACATTCTCCGTGTTGGTGTTCATGTTAAAGGGATTAATTGCTGGAACCTTCGCCAGCAACAACCCTTCGACGCAGCCTGAAAGTACGATAATTAGATAACAGATGAGGCAATTAGCGTGTGAGTGGCCATATATCCAGTAGCAGATACCATCATCAGAGACCCGGGGGGGGGGGGGGAACCGTGTGTGTGTGGCCGGGGGAGGGGGGGGAGGGAATGGTGCCCCAACCACTTGGACAGTCGGGGATTGAACGCCGACCGGCATGAAGCGAGACTGTCGCTCTACCCGTCCAGCCCAAGTGGATGTCCCTCACCTGGGGGGGGGGGTGGCTGGCCCCTGGGGGCTGCCATCTCTGGACCATCGCTGCTGCTGCTGCTGCTGCTGCTGCTGCTGCTGCTGCTGCTGCACATACCCCGGGGGCCCCCCATATGCCCCCGGGGGGCCCTCCACATGCCCCGGGGGGCCATCCACATGCCCCGGGGGCCCTCCACATACCCCGGGGGCCCTCAACATGCCCCCGGGGGGCCCTCCACATGCCCCGGGGGCCCCCACATGCCCCCGGGGGCCCCCCACATGCCCCGGGGGGCCCTCCACATGCCCCCGGGGGCCCCCACATGCCCCGGGGGCCCTCCACATACCCCGGGGGCCCCCCACATGCCCCCGGGGGGCCCCCCACATGCCCCCGGGGGGCCCCCCACATGCCCCCGGGGGCCCCCCACATGCCCCGGGGGCCCTCAACATGCCCCCGGGGGCCCTCAACATGCCCCCGGGGGCCCCCACATGCCCCCGGGGGGCCCCCCACATGCCCCCGGGGCCCCCCACATGCCCCGGGGGGCCCTCAACATGCCCCCGGGGGCCCCCCACATGCCCCCGGGGGCCCTCCACATACCCCGGGGGCCCTCAACATGCCCCCGGGGGGCCCTCCACATGCCCCGGGGGCCCCCCACATGCCCCGGGGGGCCCTCAACATGCCCCCGGGGGCCCCACCACAGGGCCCCTACTAACGACCCTTCATGCCCTCCAGCACCACTTAATTTGTTTTTACCTTTGATATGGCTTTTTATGCCATCATAAAACCCAGGAATGTTGACTGAGTTATGAGGGCATTTTGTTATTTGTCCGGGGTATGGGGGCGCTGGGCAGGTGCCCCGGGGTGCCCCCT